TGCAGAGAAATTAACTGCAGCAAAAATTGTTTGATGGAGGTGTGTAATTACAGCTAAAGGAAATTAGAATCAAAATGAAAGAATCACACAAGCAGTGACTAATATGAAATCTAAATCAATACAGAAAAAGATTGCTTTGATACAAACTGTTGTGTAAATATGGAGCTTCAATGAAAATTATAAGGGAGGCCTTCTGGGATTTGTGATGGTGAGACAATAATTCCATTCATTCAAATTCTAACCAAGCYGAATCACATGTAAGATATATAAAAATATGAATACCAAACAAAACATTGTAACACACATAATAGCAAAACACRCACAGTTCGAGTCATTGTTTCACCACATCTGTTTACAAATGMACCAACCAATGCACAAATGTCAGATAAGAATAATTTACAAAAAAGAAAAGGTAATCTAAATCCATTCATAATTGTCAGAAGGAATTATCAATCCCACTCAGTCATTTATTGTGAAGCACTCTCCTAATTGAACTCTCAAACAGAAATTTCTCAGAGAATAATACAGATCAGCTCTTTTAATTACCCATCCCGCCCACACCATGACTGATAAAAGCTTGTGATTCTGCTTCTTATGGCAACAGTTTATTATGGTATATCGTTTGACTTTTTAGTAAAAAAAAATGCTTATTTTTGTTTATTTTCCTGTATTTAGTGCTGTCTATTTCAGAAGTGAAACTAATTTGGTCGTTTGAACATGRCCTGCACTATATGTGCACACTTTTCACATTTCTACACTTTACCATGCACTTTGTTRAACTTTAACATTTTATATTTATGTAGTCAAATTACCCCACTGCACAAAAACATTTCATGGTGTTTAGTTTTAAATTAATAATTAATAAATTTGAATTACAATTTTACTTTGTTATACTATGCTCAAAGTAGTCAATAATAGCATTGCAGTACACATGGAGTAAACGCACAATAAAAAATAACAATAAATAAATAAAATAAACCAAATGGCCAAAGTCTATATACCAATTCAACTACATTGAACTAAGTTTTGCTGTTCCTCTCTGAATATAGTCTCAGGTTTTCAGTTGCTCATGTCAGATCTTTCTTTTGGCCTTCGTTCACCTTATATTCTTTGCTGCAACAAACTTTTTGGTTTCTTTAAAACAAAGTTTATCATTTGACTTTRTGAGTCTATATCCTGGTCCGTCTGTCAGCTTGTCTCTCTGTCTGTCCATAAGCTCTTCATCTGAAAGCATAAAGATGCTTTGTCATCAATTTTATGTTCTGCCATGCCACTTTGTGATCAGTCATCGCTGCTGATGCCGTCTATCAGTCAAGGGAAGACGTGGCTAACGGCTAGCTAAGTGGTGCTAATGGAGCTGTGGCCTGGCAATAACAGCTCCATCCAACAGAAAGACATCCATCACAAAGGCTTTAAACCAACGAAGAAGAACAAAGGGAGCAAAGGGAGAAAGAGAAAGGAGGAGGGATGGAAGGGACTTGCATTCTCAGAAGATGTACAGTAAAATAATTGAGCAAGGAGAGAACAAAAGTAAAATGTAAAGTAAAGACAAAAGGTTAGAAAGAAGGAAAGGAAGACAACATAAATTCTTATATTTCCCTGGTTTTATTACCATGATGTTACTGTAACGTGTCTAATTCACCTGCATACTGTACGCTTTGCATTTACTAATCTATGCTTTATGTTTTTGATATTCAAATCTTTGTTGCACTCATGTAGCCCACATCTGGATAAGGCTGACATAAATGGAAAATAAAATGCTCATTTTCTTTTTTTCTGTTCCTTTAATCCAATTCACTCAAATCCTTGCAAATAAGAGCGAAGGCAGCGATTCTACAGAAGTGAATYAAGAACAGCTTTAAACTATATTTAGACACAAGCATTGTGTCTTTTAAAATCAGTGCCTTACTGTATTTTTCCTTTTTATTTACATTTACAGAGAAAAGCAAATGTGCTGAACAGCCTGTATTATACATCTGCAAAAATCCAAACAAGAGCACAGTTGTACATAGTTAAAATATGCCTAATGCAAACTTGCTTGTTTCTATTAACAGACTAAAAAGATGAGATGTCAACAGTATTGAGAAAACTTTTAAAAAGAATGAGCTGCATTAGCAAAGCAGAATAATAATTTGACAGTTTTATTTTATTTGAATACAGTTCTTCTGACCTTTTACAAACCTTTTACCAGATTTACAACTATTTCAAAAATATGTGTTTTTGCCTAAAGTCTGTTTTGTTACAACATTGAACTGGTGTGTATTTTAAATGCCACAGTGATTATTTATAGTTGCAATGAGTGGTTTTAAAACTGATGTCCTTCAGGAACTATTAAATGGAATTAATGTGCCAAAAACTACCAATATAGCAACCATTCACTGTTTTTTTTATTAAACACATCTATGTAAAGTGACCAATGTCACAAATAAATGGTTTTGATTTTTAAATTACTCTGCAATATTCAGGTGGCGTTAAAATAAATTGTTACATTATAAATCTTTATTAGTGCATAAAAACTCTGTAAATCAAATTACATTTAATTATGGAGAATAAAAATATATTGCTRGTAATTATTTTTGTGTTCAGTGCGCACATCGTATCACTGCTTTACAAAGAGTCACAGGCTGTGTGACAGAAACTGGAGCATAAAGATCAGAACATGGAAGATGTTAATGAGCAACAGGTCACAGGAAATGCATTTACATTGTTTWTCTTAAGTAACTCCTGGAAGACGATTCACAGATAAAATTCCGGGACTTTGTTTAAATTAGTGCATCAGAAAAATYTCAGAGTTTCTCAGAAACTAAGGCTGAGTTCAAATTAATTAGAGATTTTGCAGAGCTGTTGAAAAGTTTCACTGTTCACGCAGTAAATGAAGTGTACAGAAGATGTACACTACAGTAGTGGAAACTGAATGCACTGCAGCCTGAGCTGACACAGCAGGGTAATCATGGTTAATGTTAACATCTGAAGTTCATTGTTATGATTTTCAGACTTGCTGAAAATGCCTTCATTATTCATCATAATTTATTTGATATAAAACACATTTAGGTCTACATATGAAACAGAGGTAATAACTCGTAATTTTGGCACATCAAATGTTCTTTTATAACTACAGTTGCAATTTGTGGTTATATAAATAATAAGTGTAAATAAATTGTATGCTTTCTTGTATGAAGACAGTTTGTTAATTGTACTTTCTCAGCCAAAACCAGAAAAAAAAAAAAAACGTGTCCATTACCTCAGAATCCAATACATCAAACATATTTTGCTGACAGTTATTAATGCAGAACCTGACTGAATACTTGGTAAATATTTGTGAAGTATGCTGCTCAGTCAAGTTTAAGAAACAAGACCTGTTTTCCCCTACAGCTAGTGTCCAAAATGTAGAGTGWGTGTCGCCTGTGGGTGGCTTCTGTCCGTAGTTAACTGTGTGTAATCTACAATTAGCTGCATTTTCACAAGCTACATTAGTTRTGGCCCAATTGTACCAGGAAGTRGGAATTTCCCACTTACAAGTTGTAAAACTGACAGCAGTGCGGGCCTGTGAAAAGCTGTCARGGACCTTGGATGGTGTCTCCTGTAMTGGAAATGCACAAACTCAAACTGGAAATACACGAACTCAAATGTTGGGGGACATAAGTCACAAACTGGATGTGATTCTGATGAGAATTSCAGTTTCACCCATGGTGGATCAGTCTGAAGGCCACGATGGGTGGAGACAGAGAAACTGAACTCTGGTGATTTGTGTTTGGTTGATAACATTTTTTGGACTCTGAAGGTCTTTGATTGGTTCCAGCACAGAGTAWTACCCTGAAATATCACCTGCGCTGCTGCACCCTGCCCTGTACCGTGTGTTTGATCCCCAGCCCCCTCCCTTCCTTAGCTGCCTTGCACTATGCGAGTGTTTTTTTTATCGTATGATTATGTGCTTCTGTGTGAACATAGGATCAGAGCATTTTTAACTCATTTTTCYTATTGTGTGTATTCCAAGCTTTTTAAAGGTAGCGTGACCCCAACTGGTTGCTGCATCATCTGAACAGCTGTTACCTCATGTTTTTGTCATGTAAGTCTTCTTGAATGGGTGTTCTTGAATGTAATTTCATTGTGCAAACGATGACAATAAAGGCTTTCATCATCATCATCATCAAATCCAAACTGGGAAGGTCCCTCCAGTTGGCAATCTCTGTCGGAAAGTGGAAGAGTCCAGATTTCAAGACGGCAGCTGCTCACCACATCCAGTAAGAAAGACTTACTTACATAAAATATTTCTATATTATTTATTTCACATTTAGTCAGTTTTATATGTAGTAACTTTCTGTGTTTATAAGAGGACGTGGTTAAACATTGTTTCTATGCACAAAATACCACATWGAGCTCAATTGTTTGTTAGAGGTGCTCAGCTTTGGCAATGAGACAAGGAAGGTGGCATTTCCTGTTTAATCCAAGGTAAACACGAAACGTCAAAATTAATTACAACTGACTGAGTGCCACCATCACGCTCATGTGGCCCTCAGTGAAAACGTGTTTGACACCCCTGCATTAAATAAAAAAGCAGTTTGGTCTGTTGAATTCTCTGCTTCTGATTTTTCTAAATGTATAAATCATGAAAATAGATATTTAAAATGAAAAGCAGTCTCCAGCTAAAATGGCCACCCAGACTCTCAGATTCTAAACTCAAATTCAACCATTTTAACGTGTCACAAAAATAAAGAAACCTTTTGCAAAGGCTGCATAAAATAATTAGCCTTTTCTTATAGGCTGAYAGTTTTTATTTCATGTGGACTGTCACCATAAAACAACCAAGCTCCCTTGCTGGAAAAAAAATAATAAAATGGAGCACTATCATTTTTCTGGCCTTGAAGCAAAATAATCAAAGCGTGTTTCAGACATTTYATGCACCCACCAAATGCTTTGTTCAAGGAATCAGCGCAGGCGCTCCTGGATGACAGGAAGCTGTTGGAAAAAAAAGTGAGCAGTTATGTGAGCTTCAGTCGTACCTTTCTGCTGTGGAGGAGGCCTTTCTCTGACAAATCACTGCCAAGGAACTGCTTCCCGGTGCCATTTCYTGTTTGATCTCCCACGCGACAAGGTTGCTGGGTTTCACAGCCAGGAAGTTGATGCCTGACTGGAACCACACCCTACAGAGAAGAAACAGACAGAAACAAAAAGAAAAATCAGAAAGTGAGGTTAATCCGAAGTTCATAAGCAYGATATAAACAAAGAAGGTGAAGGATTAACTGAGAAAGTTAGGTGGAGATTTGTTTTAAAAATAGGCGATCTACTTTGCTTGGAATCTCCCTGCCCACATTTTTCCTTCTGATTTATCTTTGATCTCTGCCAGAGACTTTCTTGGTATGAAATGTCTTTTTAAAACTGATTCACAAAACACAGTTCTGCCTCCCACGATCTTCTTTGGTGGGAGAAGAAAAAAAGGTGCAGGAGACAAAAGACAAGAGTGCGACAGGATACGTGCTTACAAAAGTTAATATGTTTTTCTTCCCAACCAGAACCATGTCTGTGCACATGACAGACCTGAAATGTGCTGAGGCCATATTTGATAAAAAGGAAATACCAATTGTTTTTTTTTTTGTTTGTTATATGATTACATTTTGAAGTAGCTTTTAAATAATAATTAATTTTAAATAAATAAATAATTTCATTGAAATTAAATAATATTTTTTAACATCACTCTTCGTAACCTTTGCATTATTTAATTTTCTTCCAATCTGCTTCCATATTTTTTCTCTGCTTCCTCATCGACACATTGTTTTTTTTTCTTCAATCTAAATTATTCTCCTCTTCCTCATCCTTCCCTCCTTCTGTTCCAAATGTCCTCCTTCCACAGCTTTTCCCCTTTAATCCCTCTACTTTATTTTCTTTTACCAGGCCTCTTCTTWCAAACTAAGTCTTTTCTTTTATTTTCCAACTCCTCCCCAGTCTTTCATCCATCCCTCTGTGATCTCCTTCCCTATCTTACTTATGTTCCTGTCTTCATCCCTCCCTCTGCCCCTTCTCAGTACTTCAATCTCAAGGCATCCTGTGGTTTATGTYCCTTTCTTTCCTTCTTCTTGTGTTCTTTTCTCTAATCTGTCCCATTGTCTTTTACTCTATTCATCACCTTGACAAGACCCTCTCTTAGTTTATTAACATATTTTAGGCCCATGTGTACTCACAAGTTTATTTACTCTCCTTTGTCAAAAAATAATAAAGACAATAAATATTATCACTCTGAAGAAAAGTTCAGTTTTTCTGTACAGAAAAGAACAAAATGTCAATCCTCTTTGTCTCCTTTCCCACATACTTTGTGCCTTTGTATTGCTTTATGTCTTGCCAAAAATTGCACAAAAATATGCCATGCATRTCTGTTGAAAGCGTGCGCTGTGTCTGTGTATGTTTGTGTGAATGTCTGTTTAGTGACAAACCAAATATTTCTTGGAACAAACAAGTCATCTGTTTATGAACACTATAGAAATCCTGTTGTTTTATGGTCATTCAATTTTAAACAATATATGTTTGTGTTAATTTTAGAAAACAGAGAATAAAAAAGTATTATAAGTAATTACATATATACGGTATACAGGTGGAGAGATTTTTTTTAATCAGCAGAGATCAGCCATGTAAAACAGTATCTGATTATACATTATATTAAACACCACTATTAGAATTTTTTTTAATTGAATCTGCACAATGTATACAGACAAAAGCTTAAAACGTTCATAATGAAAAAACAAATGTGACATTAAAGAATAGGTATCTTTGTGAATAAATAATAAATATATTCATGATGTGACAATGTTTTTATAAAATAAAAACATTTTATTCCATAATGGTCTTTTCCCCAATAGCTTATTTAGTTCCTTATGACACTATTCAGCAGGATCACTTCATCTGTCAATCATGTGTCAGTGGGTTGGACCTGCACACCCATTGGCCGATCCTTGCACATCGATTAGTTGTCCTGAATACCTGCTCACTGCACAGCTTGAAAAATTCAATTCAAATTCAAAAATACTTTATTGACCCGAGAGGGAAATTTGGTAACAGCTACCAATGATTTACCAGGTCAAGAGTCGTACAATATGTTTAGCGCCATACTGCAGCCTACTGCGTTGGAGTATGCATTGCACCTTTAAGCATGATTTGATATCAATATGTGATTTACTTCTGTTTGGGTAAAGGAACAGTCGAACAAACAACTGACTACGCCCTGTTTTTTAGTTGTTGTTTTTTTGACAGATGAAGTCATTCTTTTCTGACGAACAGTGTCACTGGAAAAATAAATAAGCCTCTGGGGTGAAAAAAACACCATTGTGAAATAAAAGATGACTGAAAAAGACGTTCTGTAATAAAA